AAACAAAAAGAAATTAATGTACTACCTGTCAAGCTTCTATTAAAAGAATCATTGTATCCCTATATTTGCTTGCCAAGAAAAATTGTATAAATGCTCTGTACTCTTAAAAATAAATCACATTCAGGGCCCTCCCTGGTGGCGCAGCGGGTTAAAGCACAGCACTAAGAAGATTAAGCCACTTCCGTATGAGTTCGATCCCCGCCTGCCCCAGAGGAGCTCCACATGGCGTGGCAGACCTCTCCTGACCCACCCACTGCTCCCCTCAGCAGAGTACTTCGTCGATCTGCCTGTTCTGCTCCTCACTCTGTCTCTGGTGAATCCTTTCACCCTCCGCATCTCTGGCCTGTACCCCAGTTCTGTATGAATAAATAAATCTTTATATATATATATATACTTACCTGGCAGGGGAGATACCATGATCATGAAAAAAATAAATAAATAAATCACATTCAGATATGCACTCCTAGAAGTCGTGTCTGTCTGCCACTCAGCCTCATCCTTGTCCACCCTGCGCCAGAATTGCCATCCCTGAAACTTGTCTCCTGTTCCTGCTGCGCTGGTTCGGGGCAGTTCCCTGCCTGGGGCAGATGTCACTCCTGGTGGGTAAGGTAGCGGAGGGGGCTGTGTTCCGGCCACAGGACACACAGAAAGCCTCTGCTAGGGTGCAGTTTCCATCATGACTGCATAAGCTGTCTTGCCAGACTCAGGTCAGGGGGGAAACTGTCACTATGTAATGAGGGACACTGCAAAGTCTCTGGAAGATAGGGCGGTGGGACAGAGTCATTGGAAATAAATCCTTCTACTGCAGCTGCTGGGCCAAACGCCCTGTTCCAAGAGCTATTTGTCTAAAGTCTGCTGCATTTGTCTAAAGACTTTTTTCTTCTTAAATAGAAAGGATTATATTTAACGTTCTGATAATAAAAATAAAAATATCAGACCATATAGCAAACTCTGAAATGAAAAAGTGCCAAAGCCCCACCATTCAGGTAAACCAATATTACAAGCTAGCTAGGCATTCATTCTACCATAACGTCTTATATATATATCTATATATCTATATATATACACACTTATATTTATATATATGAGTGTATATATATGTGTATGTGTGTATATGTATGATCACACTGATGTTATTTTTGTCATAATTAAGAAGATGATAGTTATATTGTTTTAGACATATTGTTTTAGAATTTCTGTTGTCGCTTATTTTTTTAAAGATTTATTTAATAGGCCCTCCCTGGTGGCGCAGTGGGTTAAAGCACAGCATCGAGAATCTAGAGCCACATGAGTTCGATTCCACATGAGTTCGATTCCCACCTGCCCCGGAGGTGACCACATGGTGTGGCAGACCTCTCCTGACCCACCCGCTGCTCCCCTCAGCAGTGTACTTCGTTGATCTGCCTGTTCTGTTCCCCACTCTGTCTGTGGTGAGGCCTCTCTCCACCCCTGAGCCTCTAGCCTGTGCCCCAGTTCTGTATGCACAAATAAATAAATCTTAAAAAAAAAAGATTTATTTAATAATACACACAGATCTGGGGTACAGGCCAGAGGTGTGGGAGGTAAGAGGATTCATCAGAGACAGAGTGGGGAACAGAACAAACAAATCCACTGAAATACACTGCTGAGGGGAACAGCGGGCAGGTCGATCAAGAGAGGTCTGCTGCATCATGGAGGTCACCCGCTTGACCGGGGATCTAACTTGTGCTGCAATGGCTGCAATAGCTTCATAATGCTGTACTTTAATCCAATGCACCACCAGGGAAGGCTCTCTGTTGTCACTTCAATTTACATCAATATCTTTGTCTATAAAAATACAGATCATTGGGGGCTTCTCTGGTGGTGCAAGGGGTTAAGTCTCAGTATTATGAAGCTATCCATACCCATTGCAGCGGGAGTAAGATCACCAGTCCCGTAGCTGACCCACATAGTACAGCACACTTCTCCTGTCTCACCTGCTGCTCCCCTCAGCAGTATATTTCAGTAGATCTGGCGGTTATGTTCCCCACTCTAGTGAATCCTCTCACCCCTTGTACCCTAGCTCTTGTATGCATAAATAAATAAATCTTTAAAAAACAAAACAAAAAAAAAGGAGCCCAGAGAAGGGTCTGGCTACATGCAAGGACTGAATAAAATTTCACCAGGGAGTGAGAGACAGCTGAATTTTCATAAATGAATAGTTCAAGCAGTAAACAGTAACTTCAATGGTATTAGTTGCTCTCTGCAAAGGCTTGTTCCTGCTGTGAACAGGGTTCTTGCTGTATTACCTCAGGCTAGAGATTCAATTTGAATTCGTAAGCCTCAACTTCCTGCTCTGTATAATGGGAACAGGACAATTTACCTGCCACCTAGGACTTGTGAGAACTACAAAGTCCCTGGTAGCGCAATGGGTTAAAGCACAGCGCTGTGAAGCTATAGCAGCCACTGCAGATCCCTGGTCAGGGAGGTGACCCACATGGTGTAGCATGACCCACCCTCTGCTCCCCACAGCAATGTATTTCAGTCCATTTGCCTGTGCTCCTCCCTACTCTGTCTCTGGTAAATCCTCTCACCTCCCACACCTCTGTCCTGTACCCCAGTTCTACATGCATAAATAAATAAATCTTAACAAAAGAACAAAGTGCCTGGGAAATCTAGGGGTATCAGGCAGTTTTCAACCAGGAAAACAGGAGCCCCTCTAAGTGTACCGAAAGTTTTGCAAGCACTAGTGACTTGGGTGAAGGTGACATGGGAGTGCCCAGAAGCCAAAGCAGCAGTGTGAGGCAACCCAGAGATTAGCACAGACCAGAAGCCTCTGTTATTCCCAAACTGGAAGGATAAATGAAGGAGATGGAATTAATGGTGCCCAAAGGTGAGGAGGCCCCTTGGGAAGCTGGGACCCAGGTAGCCCATCTAGTGGGAGCTGGACCCACAAAAGAGCTTCTGCCACTGCTGGGAACCTGTGAGCATGACAGGTGAGGGAAGACAGCCCTAGCTGTTTCCTCCTGTCTACCTTGCCAATCAAAGTCACTGTCTCTGGTGCCCAAACCCCTCCATAGGCAACAATGGGAGACTTCAGGATAAAGGGGAAACAAAGGACAAGGGAAATAAGGGGCAGGCCATAGAGAAAGAGGACCATTAGCAGAGGGCCCTCCTAGTGGCACAACTCATCTAAGTGCAGCACTGCGAGGATGTCTTTAGGGGGGGTGGGGCGACACAGACCTCTCCTGTCTCCACCCTGTTCCCCTCATCCATGTTCTTAACCTGCCTGTTCTGCTCCCCACTCTGTCTTTGGTAAATCCTCTCATCCCCAGGACCTCTGGCCTGTATACCAGCTCGTGCATGTGAAAGGAGTAGCTGAAGTAGTATAGATAAGCACAAAAAGGAAGGACAGGAAAGAGAGTCCAGAAAAGGAGACTATTGGAGAGCCCCCCCCCCAAGGTTCACTGACCCCCATGGGGATCTGAGAAGTCCCACTGAGGGAGGGTAGGAGGGGTTTTTAATAGGCCTAGATGGGGGGAGAGAAATGGCCGCGTGGGAAAATTTTGACAAGGAACTGGAACTTATTTTTCTGCCCAGGCTTGTGTTAACCAGTGGTGACAAGCAAGGTGGTGACAAACAAGTCATGAGGTTATCGCTCCGGAATATCTGCTTCTGCTTGGAACAACTGCTCTTTCTGTATGTCTATATTTGGCTGGTGACTGACCCTGACAGTATGCATAAGTAAATAAGTTAAAAAAAGAAAAAAAGCATACAGTGGAGTCTCCCTGATGCGGCAAGTGTTAACCCTCAGCACTATGAAACTATGCGTTTGGTCCCGCCAGGGAGTGACCCACGTGGCACAGCAGACCTGTCTGCCCCACTGCTCCCTCGGCAGTGTATTTCAGTAGATCTACCTGTTCTGCTCCCCACTCTGTCTCTGGTGAATCCTCTCACCCTCCTCCCCTCCCGCCTCCCCCTACTCCAGTTCTAAGTAAAAATGAATAAAATCTTTAAAAAAAAACCCTAAAACATACTGTTGTCCAGTTAGCCTACTACATGCTTCTGAATGACAACCGTCTGGTGTGACACGGTGGCATTTACAAGTGGATTTCGACGTCATTTTCTCACCTGGAACCTCATGAGCAGAGGGGAAACGCCTATTCTGTCACAGAGATGGAAGCTCATGGGGTGGGATTGCATCATGGCAACTGGACTCGGGTCTGGGAGTCCAGGGGATTTCTGTGACCTTGAGGGCCACAATCTCTGGACTCATAACCAGGATGGTGGTGGTGGTGGTGGTGGGGTGCATGAGCCCACACTCCTAGGCTCCTCATCTCTGCATCCACCTGTCCAGAAGGTGTTTCTGAAAGGATGCGGCAGTGTGAGAAAACGGACTACGGGCCAAGGTCACAGAGCTGGCAACGGGAAGGAAGCGAGTCTCCACCGCCAAAGCCCTTTACCACCCCCCTCGCGCCCCCCCTTCTTTTCCCGCCCCATCATTTTCTGGCTGAGGAAGGCTCGTTCAAGGGACCCCATCCAAATCTTGGGGCACCTAGGTGAGCCACTCACGCCAGCAACCAACTCGACCGGCTCGCACCGGAGGGCGCCAGGGCGCCGCGCTGGCCGCGGGCTCCGGACGGCCCCCGCCAGGGG